AGTTTGGCTGTGTAAGGAAAGAAGGATGTACTATAACGGGTTATTCTAGTGTGACTGACATCCGGCGGTACACAGGATGGCAAATCCACCGAACATTGCCTGTTAAAGTACCTGTAAAAGAGAGAGAGTGAAGCAACATTGCAGCAAAGAGAAAGTGAAGAAAAATTATCAACTAAAGGAGGAGAGTTAATAAGACAAAATGCCTTTGATTTCAACCTATCTAACAGTTGGACAGAAGAAGAGCCACCCCAGATATACTTGAAACAACTGCTCAGGAGTGAAGTAGCTACAGCATCTGTACAGCATTCCCAGCTTTCGGGAGGCAGCTTTAGCTATGTTGTGGATGTGTGATTTCCAGGACATATTGCAGCACAGTACAGTTAGAATACAGTACAGTGTAGATAGTGCAGTACAGTACAGTTAGAGTACAGTACAGTAAGAATACAGTACAGTACAATACAGTACAGTCCGAATACAGAACAGTACAGTTAAAATACAGCTGCTCCTCGACTTACGATGGGGTTAGAGACCCAAATCCAGGACGTAAGTCGCATTGGTCGTAAGTCGAAAATGCAAAGATAATACATAGACAATCTAAAATAGGTGTCTCTTTTTCTTCTCAGCATCACAAAACTCTCACTTTTAAGCTTGCCAGCCATTTTAAAGTGAATTACAAACGAAAATTTTGTCAGTACACAGCGCAATCACTGACATCGGAACTCGAAAATATGTTATTTGAAAAAATTTTGGTACGACTGGGGCGGTTGTATGTCCGGGTGGTCGTAAGTCGAGGAGTAGCTGCACAGTACAGTGCAGTTAGAGTACAGTACAGTAGTAAGAAAACAGTACTGTTAGAATACAGTACAGTTAGAATACAGTACAGTACATTAAAGTAGTTAGAATACAGTACAGTTAGAGTACAGTACAGTTAGAATACAGTACAGTGCAGTTCAAATACAGTACAGTTACAATACAGTACAGTTAGAGTACAGTACAGTAGTTAGAATACAGTCCAGTCAACCCTCGCTTTACGCGGTCCCACATTCCGCGTTTCCACGTTTACGCGGTACCCTGCCGAAACCGGAATGCTCACATTCCGCGGTGCATGTACCCCTTTACGCGGAGAGCGGCACAAGCAGGATGCGCACAAGGTCGCCCAGTCATCAAAACATTACCGAGTTCTTCACCCGCCACCCACCACAGCCGGCCCAAGTCAGTGATCGTGATAATTGTAGTGAGGATATGGACTTATATGGACTTTGAGGGGTTTGACAAAGAGGCCCTGCAAGCCTCTGTGGTGGATAGTGATACAATTGATACAGGTGAGGGCCAATAATCTGCCCTCTGCCTCGGAACCAACCACCCATCCCAAGTGTGCCCAGCCATCTTTTCTTCTAATGTAAGTGTTAAAAAACCTAATATTATTGATATTTCTCTTAATTATTAATTGTGTGTGCATACCATCATAAAATTAAGAAGTTATTTTTACTACAACGTAGGTATTGTGTCTGAAGAAGTGGAGTTTGGGGGTCGGCCCGGTCTCTATTTTAATTAATCCCATATGTTATGTTGTTCACTTTACGCGTTTCTCACTTTACGTGGGCCGCCGTGGGTTGAATTAACCGTGTAAAGTGAGGGTTCACTGTACAGTACAGTTACAATACAGTACATTACAGTTAGAATACAGTACATTACAGTACAGTTAGGATACAGTACAGTTAGAATACAGTACAGTTAGAATACAGTACATTACAGTACAGTGGTTAGAATACAGTGCAGTACAATACAGTTAGAATACAGTATAGTTAGAGTACAGTATAATACAGTTAGAATACAGTACAATGCATTACAGTACAATTAGAGTACAGTACAGTGATCCCTCGGTTAATGAGCGCCTCGGTTAACGAGATTTCGGTTAACAATTTACCTTTCATAAGATTCTTAACTTCGGTTAACGAGCAATCCCTCGATTAACGAGTTTTTTACGAGCCGACTTCAACACGTTTTCGCTTGCATTTGGCAGTCCACCAGCTGTAGTATTAGTCCGCCAACACAGTAATCGGTTTTAGGGCTTAAATTCCTTACTATTTTAGTAAATATCAAGACATTTATACTATTCAATAATTTTAAAAGTTTAATATTAACTTTTTTAGTCATTTTAACAATTATTGAACATAATTGAAGGTAAAGAAACTAGTTTCTGGCGTGCCATCCAGCCTGTTAACACACCAGACAGGCGTTAGTCTCTCTCTGTTTTCAGTGGAGGTAACATCTTGCTTGAGACTCTCTTCAACTAAATGCTTTTTTTCTGTGTTTCCAAGCAAATTATTGGTCATTTTGAAATATATTTTACATATTGACAAGATATAATGCAGTACAGTGTTGATTTAAAGAAAATAATCTTGAATTACACCAAGAGAACTAAAATTTTATGGATGAAATGGTGCCATGGGGTGACTTCTCTTCCACCCCAATGCCTTCTCTTCTCCCTTCTCCTCCACCCCAATTCTAATTCCCATCATCATCATCATCATCATCATCATCCAGGAGCCTTCTACATACACACCTCAAAGTAAGTGTACTTTTCTACCTTTTTTGTTGAATTTAGGCAATTTTCGGTGAACTGGAACCAATTACCCAAAAACCCATTGAAACAATGGTTTCTGTTAACGAGCAACCTGCTGGAACGGATTGTGTTCGTTAACCGAGGGACCACTGTACAGTACAGTTAGAATACAGTACAGTTAGAATACAGTAGTTAGAGTACAGTATAATACAGTTAGAATACAGTACAATGCATTACAGTACAATTAGAGTACAGTACAGTACATTAGTCAGAATTCAGTACAGCACAGTTAGAGAACAGTACACAGTAGGCTGTCGCCAATAACGTTTAATAGGTACCTGAAAAACGCCATTAGTCGCGAAAACGTTATTTGTGTGACATTAAAATACATGTAAAAACGATTTATTGGTGCCGCCGCCCCAAGAATTTCACCCAGTTTTTCCCCCTTAGAAGCCCTCCTAACACTTTTTGTTCGCTGAAATAAAAAGAATTGTTATTCAATCATCAAAATAAAGAGTTTGAGTAATATAACACTTAGTTTTTGAGGTGCTTGGTGTGATGATTGTTCCGTATCTGAGGGCTGCTAACACTTGCACTGTCTTTCATTCTACAAGCTAACCATTTCACAAGAAAATGCTCTGTTATCACTAACAACCTGTTTCTATCACCTTTATCATTCATAGCTCGCCTCGCATTTCCATCACTACCGAAATATTTTTAGCCAGCGCAATACTCTTCTTGGTCTCCTCTAAGTTCTTCTTAATATTTCGCACTGTAGACTCAGGACAGTTCAATTTCCTCACTTTAAAAGTTCCCAGTCATTCAGGTGGCAAATCACTCCCTCCACCACCTCCCCTAGCCCCCACAGGCAAAAATGAGGAAGCCATTATTGATCACCGACCCTAACAACCACTGGTTATAGTGGCGAAAATCTCACACGTGGGCGCAGCGCTGTATTCCACTGAGCGTGTGTGAGAGTGAGGCGGAGCGGACAACTACGTCACCAACACGGCGGCAAACAAACGCTATCATTGATGCGCTCGGATGCTTCCCGCGAAATCTCCGTTATTCAAGTGAATCCAGACGTTATTATCGAAAATGGGTATCTATTGTAACTTACCGTTATTGTCGAAAATGTTATTGTGGAAGTCATTATTGGCAAGAGCCTACTGCAGTTAGAATACAGTACAATACAGTACATTATAGTACAGTTAGAATACAGAACAGTAGAGTACAGTTAGAGTACAGTATATTACAGTTCAGTTAGAATGCAGTACAGTTAGAGTACAGTACAAAACAGTTAAAATACAGTACAGTACAGTTAGAGTACATTACAGTAGTTAGAATAGAGTACAGTACAGTTAGAGTACAGTACAGTTAGAATACAGTACAGTTAGAATACAGTACAGTACAAAGCAGTTAAAATACAGTACAGTTCAGTTAGAATACAGTACAGTTAAGTTAGAATACATTACAGTACAGTTAGAATACAGTTCAGTAAAGTTAGAGTACAGTACAGTACAGTTAGAATACATTACAGTACAATACAGTTAGAGTACAGCACAGTTAGATTACAGTTCAGTACAGTTAGAGTACAGTATGGTACAGTACAGTTAGAATACAGTACAGTACATTACAGTTAGAATACAGTTAGAGTACAGTAGTTATAATACAGTACAGTACTCTAACAATGTTGTGAGTATTTCCCGCCAAGCGTGAGCCAATCACAGTGACCTGTGAGTGTGAATGCCTTGAGCCTGAACCAATAATAGAGCCTGGGAGATGTGACGTCATGACCCAATGGTGTACTGTGGGGAACGTCTGTGTCTTAGGACAGAGTCTGGTTTTGGAGGGAGTGAAGTGTGGGCGTGTGTGTGTCATCTCCCCACATGGCGGGATATAATTACATCTGAGTACCTTTCATGTGACCCCTGGTTCGCTAGCTAGGAAAATAGGTTTACTGTTTTGAAAGTCTAACTGTTCATTTTGAGTAACGTCGTTAATAAACGAAGTACCGTTAAGATTACTTCTCAATTCCCTTGTGTATGGAGTAGAGTGTTGTCCCTTTGGTTTATGAGTAATACAGTGAGCCCTATCACCTCAGTTAGCCACCTCCTAGCCTCTCCCCTTGGTGTGAGGGTCTACTATAGCCTAACCACACCCTCCCCATATTCCTTAACACCCCTCAGCCTAACCACAAACCAGCCGTTAGCTCTCTCTCTCCTTCCTCAATCACTCCACCTCCAACATCTCACGAGTAATTAGAGTATAAAGAATTAAGAATAAGAAAAGAGAATTAGAGAATAAAGGAGTAAAAGTAAGTAGAAGTAAAATAATTAAAGAAATGAAAGAATGAAAAGGTAAATACAAAATTAATTATTGTTACAGTACAGTATGGTGCTGATGATAATATAAACCACCAAGTAAAACTCACTGTTATTCATCCAGCCGAGTCTGAGGATGGAGAAGAGGAGGGACAGGCCTGTGTGCACCCCAAGCTCTACCAGGGCCTCATTTGCTGACAGGGAGGCACCGCCGCCCTCAACCTCCGTTGATGGTCCTCGGTCGCCCGTGCCAGTTAATGCCTACACAAGTAATAATTATAATTAGTCTAATTTATGACACACAGATGACATGATCAAAAGTAGAAAATAAATTTTTCTGGATCCCTAACTTATTCTGCCACTGTACTGTAGGCAATAGAAAATTGAGCAGTGACCCTGATATACCATATTGTGGCAGAACCTGGCCAGGCACAGATGGTTCACTGTGGCAGAGCCTAGCCAGGCAGACTGTGACAGAGCCTGGCCCTGCTAGTGTGAGTCACCAGGAGTGTAACAGCCTGTGTCAACATATAGACTTGTAGTATATAATTGTGGGATGTTTACATATTATTATTATACAGTAGTGAGTTATTTCCCAGCTGATATAAGATGCCACGCCCCCTCCCCAAGAGCTACAGCTGATTGGCGGTTTCAAATCTGTCCGATTTCGTCCGGAAGGAATGATGCATTTCTAAATGAGTTTATTCAAAATCGTTGGGATGACCGTTTCTGACGAGAAAGACATTTAGCTAAATTATATAGAAATACATACGTTCATTATTTCAAACATAAGTACGTAGGAAGTTTATCAGAAGTATTATTACATGAATTAACTATTAAACTCTGGTATCAAATTCATGCTTTCGGAGGATGCATTTAATATATGCAGTAAGATCTCATATTTCGTGCGATTTCAATTCACGTTTTTTTTAATTTTGCAAGCACTACCTAATGTAACCAAGTCTTATATTTGGTGTAAAATATCGTGAGTTTCGAGAGATCCAGCCAGCTGAACACTGGCCACCGTCTTGAATGACGTCACAGCCCTCATACCAGTTACAGTCATTTTGCTACAATGCGTGTTTTGTCAACACGAATTGGTTGCAATGCGATTGATGAATAGGGGAGTGCTGTTTGTAAAACGGAAAATTTTGCATACGAATGTTGGCTATAACACGTGTCAATCCTCAACGTTTTAAGTGTAGCGTGGCGCGGGGTTAGGCAATGTTTACAGTTCACGTTCGACTTCACATGTTCAATTGATTCGTGTCTTTTGTTTGTGAAGTGTTTTTTGAGAGGTACTCTGTAAATTTCTTTTTTGGGGGGCAAATTTAGCTGTTACCCATAAATATTGTATGAAAAGAATAAGAAAAAAGAATGTTTCGCAGTGAGGACTAATAACGGTTTACACCAGCACTCTCTGTTTACATCACATGATCAGTTGAATTGCGCGGTTTCTGTCAATTGCTCTGTAATTTTCTCTGTTTTCTCCAATTTTGTTGTGTTAGCCATGAATATTGAAGAACAAGGTAAGAAGAATGTTTCCAAGAAGCGTTCTGGTGATCGAACTGCCGGTGGTGAACGTAAAAGAGGTTTACAAGAACGCAACTATCGCATTGTAGCCTGCACCATTGTAGCGACTGCCCGGGCTGTTATTGTGTGCCATTTTGGGTGTTGCTACCACCTGTCGAGTCAAGATAATGGCCTCTCCCTCTACTGGGGGTCCTACTGGTGCTGGTGGGGGTGGGACAGACCCACCTAAGTAGCCAAATAAGGAAAAGGAGAAGTGGGACTATCATAAGGGAGTTAAGTTTGGCACGTACTCGATGCAGGATAAGCAGTGTGTGATTAAGTTACTTAAGGAAGGCCTAAAAACTAGTGTCCGGAAAGCACAATCAGGTCAATAAAGGCACAATTTGTATCATTTGGAGGTAATTAATGGGAAACTCAGAGGTTGATGTAGAGTGGTCAGTCTACTATATTGTTATTTTTCCCATTAGTTTATGTATTTGCATTTGGCGAATTTGAATTTGGCGCTATTTTTCCAGTCTATATTACTCGCGAAATACAAGATCTTACTTTCTTATTTTTACCACAATAAGGCATACTATGACAAATAACGTATCAGTACTAATACAGTATGCAAAAACTAACATTTTAAAGATTAAAATAACATTGAAATATTTACACGACCGTCAGCATATGCAGGAAATATGAAGTTGTCCTCCGCAAGAGTGAATTTGCTACCAGAGTTTAACAGTTAATTCATGTAATGCTATAACGAATCTAATTGGTTCTAGAACCTCGTTCGTTATAGCATTCATTCGTTATAGGATTAATCCGTTCCAGGCCCCGAAATACAACCACTTAACACTGAAAAATTTCTGTGGAAAATGTAAAAAATACAGTACTTTATCTTACCTTAGTGTTGTTCAGCATGCAGGACAGGAGGCAGAGGAGGAGGGGGGAGGAAAGAATTATGGAGAGGAGTCATCCTTCCTAGCCCTCTTTGGTGACTGTCTCACAGGCACTTTATCTGTAGGGTCTTTTGCTACATTTTTAAAAAAGGAATCCAGGGTTGGCTGCTTCAACCTTGATTTCTGGACCTTCCAAAATTAGTTCATCACAGTGTCATTAAAAATACTGATGCCCTTTTCCACAGCACCAACATCAGGATGATAATCCTCCACAAGCTTAGACAGTTTGCTCCAGCACCAGAAAACATCCTCGAGATCTTTGGCTGGAATGATGCGGCTTTCCTCCTTGTCCTCATCCTCCCCTGACTCCTCAGAAGCTAAGCTCCGCTTCAGTGTGTCTGTATCTTCAGTATGAAGCTCAAGCAGCTCCTCAGTGGACAGCTCCTTCCTGTGCTCATCCACCAACTCCTCAACATCATCATCATCATCATCATCCACTTCCAGGCCCATGGAATTGCCCAGACACACAATTTCATGTACAACAGCCTCTTCCTCTAACTCTTCAAAGCCTTCAAAGTCTCTTTGAAGCACACATTCAGGCCACAATGGCCTCCAAGCAGCACAAAGACACCTCACAGTAACCTCTTTCCAGGCTGAGGTAATTAAAAAAACAGTATCTGCTATATTGAAGTGACTCTTTCAAAATTCCTTCAAGCTAACATCACTGGAAGAAGTGGACACAACACATTTTGTAAACAGTGCCTTTGTGTACAGCTTCTTAAAGTTAGAAATTACCTGTTGATCCATGGGCTGGATGAGAGGTGTTGTGTTGGGTGGCAAGAAGTGCACAGTGATGAAGTGGAACTCCTCTGGCAATTCAACCATCAAATTAGGAGGGTGGGCTGGTGCATTGTCCATCACCAATAGAGCTTTCAGTGGAAGATTATTCTCCCTGAGGTATTCCCGAACACTGGGTCCAAACACCTCAGTCACCCACTCAGAGAATAAATTCCTGGTCACCCAAGCCTTTGGGTTTGACCGCCACATAACACCAAGGCGGTTCTTCCTAATGTTTTTGAAAGCTCTGGGGTTTTCTGCATGGTACACAAGGAGTGGTTTTATCTTGCAGTCACCAGAAGCATTAGCACAAAGAAGGAGGGTAAGCCTGTCTTTCATCGGCTTATGGCCAGGGACAGAAGTTTCCTCCCTTGTAATGTATGTACGGCGAGGCATTTTTTCCAAAAAAGTCCAGTTTCGTCAGTTAAATACCTGCTGAGAAACAAAGCCTCCCTCTTTAATCACATTTAAAAAAATGTCATGGCTTCCTTATCTGCACTAGCAGCTTCATCATGTCTCACAACACTGTGTAACTTATTTCTTCTTTTGAAACCAGTAAACCACCCCTTGGTACCCCTAAACAAAGGCACAGCACTATCACTTCCACTGGTAGTCTTGGCTTTAAGGTCCTCAAACAATTGTCTGGCCTTCTCACAAATTATAGCTTCACTAATGCTATCACCTGCCATTTCTTTCTCCTTTATCCACACTAAGAGTAAATTTTCCACTCTTCAATCACATTACACCTTGCTTTGCTAAGTCTAGATTCCCTTAGCCACTTGCACAGTTTTCAACTCCACTGTATTCTTCAAAATCGTATATATAGTCGATTTAGCCATCCCATATTCATCACTAAGTTTCGCAATGCTTGTTCCATTCTCACGTTTCTTTATGATTTCTTTCTTAGTTTCAAGGGTTATGAGCTTTCTCACTCGCTTTGGACGATTCATTGTTACATTTGTACACTTGTATAACAAAATAGTTATACAAATAAGACGAATTTCCACATCAAAAGACGAAATTTCAACAAGTTCAGTGGTGCACTGGCTACACAATGAGTCAAAGATGGCACCTGATGCTCTTTTTGTGAGCCGCGGTACAACAATATTCATGCGCCAGACGAAATAGTCCCGTATTCATCCGCGTTCATTGTAGGGGTTGAGTTCGTTATAGCATTCTCAATTTTATAGGTAAATCTGTTCGTTATTGGAATATTCGTAGTAGAATCCATTCCTTATAGCATACCCAACTTATAATACTTCTGATAAACTGCCTACGTACTTATGTTTGAAATAATGAATGTATGTACATATCTTTATATAGTAATTTACCTAAATATCTTTCTCGTCAGAAACGGTCATCCCAACAATTATGAATGACTCGACCTCCACACGCCAGCAGGTCATCATAAACGATTAGCTTTATGCTCAGTGATACAGGTACAGTCCTAGACCGAAGTTTGTGTTATAGTCCAGGTGGATGGTGCAAAGTCAGCCCCACCCTTACTGGACGACAAGTTACTATCAGTGATGCCACTCATGAAACACAAAGATATCGATATATATTCATTGAGCTGTTGGAGATGAGACTACAGTCGACCCTCGTTAATTCGGACCCCTTTAATCCAGATTTCGGATAATTCGGACAAAATCTGAACAAACTTTTTCTTTTCTTTTTTTTTAGATTTGTAGGAATATTACCTACGTGGACCTTAAGCTAAAATGCTGGTCCACCCACTGCTGGGATAAAACACCAGCGTCTTTTTGGTTAAATGTAACATCTCCACCACTAGTGAGGGGGGGGGGGGATGCAACTTTTAGCTTCAGACATGAAAAATATTTACCATTACTGCCAGTAAACAATGGAAATGTAAAACATGTACCAATTAGCAAAGAAAAGTTGTGCAGTTCCTTCAGCAAATGAAGCTCACCAACTTACAATAGGCTAAATTACCTTACAACGTGTTTTCAGTAGTCTATTTTGAAGTTCTAAGCACAGGCTAACTTATCATATCATATACGGTATCACAGTTCTCATTGATCTACCAAAAATACCGGTAATAAAAACCTTTTTGATATTTCACACTTAATATAATACCCGGTAATCAACTTCAACCTCCTATTGTTTACAACGACGTATGACGCATCACGCACCACCAGCTGTTGAGTATCAGCTAGACGGTACACGTGTTTTTCGAATTGTTTTCAGTTAAAAAACTGTTACATCACATGTATATTTTACCTTAACTGTGCCTGAATGAATATATTCCCGGAAATAAATAGTAGTTTTGCTGAAACGATGTATTTTAATGTAAAATAGGATAAAATACATGACGAAAACAAAAGATTTTACCTAACCTTCCGATGTTCAAGAGAAGTTACTCGTTTTTTTAATAGTTTTTGGTTAAAATACTGTTATATTACAATGATATTCTATTCATACTGTGCTTGATATAATGCATTCACGGAAATGTAATATTTTTGCTGAAATGACGTACGTATTACAGTGGAAAGTGGGATAAAATCGTGACGAAAACAATGACTGAAATACAGTGACCCCTCGTTTAACGAACGCCTCGGTTAACGAAATTTCGGTTAACGAACTGCCTTCCATAAGGATCTTCAATTCGGTTAACGAACAAAAATTCGGTTAACGAATTTCTTACGAACCGACCTCAACATGTTTTCGCTTGCACTGACCGGGCAACCAGCTTTAGTATCAGTCCGCCAATACATTAATCGGTTCTAGGGCTTAAATTCCTTACTATTTTAGTAAATATCAAGAAGTTTATACTATTCAATAATTTTAAAAGTTTAATATTCAATTTCTTAGTCATTTTAACGATTATTGAACATAATTGAAGGTAAAGTGACTAGTTTAATGCGAGGCATCCAGCCTCTTAACACAGCAAACAGGCGTTAGTCTCTCTCTGTTTTCACTGGAGGTAACATCTTGCTTGAGACTCTCTTCAACTAAACACTTTTTTTCTGTGTTTCCAAGCCAATTATTGGTCATTTTGAAATATATTTTACATATTGACAATATATAATGCAGTGCAGTGTTGATTTAAAGAAAATAATCTTGAATTACACCAAGAGAGCTTAAATTTTATGGGTGAAATGGCGCCATGGGGTGACTTCTCTTCCACCCCAATGCCTTCTCTTCTTCCTTCTCCTCCACCCCCATTCTAAATCCCATCATCATCATCATCCAGGAGCCTTCTACAAACACACCTCAAAGTAAGTGAACTTTTCTACCATTTTTGTTGAATTTAGGAAATTTTCGGTGAGCTGGAACCAATTACCCAAAAACCCATTGAAACAAAGGTTTCGGTTAACGAACTTTTCGTTTAACGAACGACCTTCTGGAACGGATTGAGTTCGTTAACCGAGGGGTCACTGTATAATACAATATTAACCCCTAAATTGGTTAATTCGGACAATCGGCTAAAACGGACACCCTTCCCCCCCTATTAGTCCGAATTAACGAGGGTCGACTGTATAATAAAGTAGTGCTGGAGTTGGTCTACAGGGATATTTACACTGTACTGTACAATGTAGTGTCAAGACAGGTCACATCAGGTTGGGTCAGATTATATCATATTCAGTTAAGTTAGGTTAGGGTATTAACACTATGGCATCCATAACCTAGGTTAGGTTAAGTTAGGTTAATGGACGCTAGTGTAAATATCCTGGTAGACCACATATTATAGTAACACCACTAAAGTTCTATCTGAGTACAGTGTGTGAATATACAGTGGTCCCTCGGTTAACAAACGGTACGATTAACAAAATTTCGGTTGACGAATTACCTCCCATAAGGATCTTCAATTCGGTTAACGAACAAAACTTTGATAAACAAAATCCATACGACAAACACGTTTTGTTGTGAGCATCAGCTGATGGGCTAGTCTGCTAATTCAGTATCCTGTTCTATGTTTACATTCATTTCCAGTGGAGTAAATATCAAGATAGTTGTGCTCTTTAATATTTTTTTCATTTTTTATATTAAAATTTAGTTAACATTGATAATATATGCAGTACAGCGAACTAGTTTTTTGTGCGCCCATCAGCCGCTTGACTCATCCACCAGGCGTCAGTATATGGTAAATTTCATTAAGTCCTCACTTAACGTCGTGGTTCCGTTTCTGAAAAACACAACATTAACGGAAACAACATTAGCGGAATCAATTTTCCCCATAAGAAATAGATAAAATATGGGAGTTACGTTCCCCAGCCTCTTTGCCCCATAAAATACATTTCATATACTGTCCATAAATTCAATGGAATTTTTTATAGAAAATAGTATACCTGTATATTATACATCCTAAAAGATAAATAAACTAAATCATTTTGTATTGTACTCACTGATGGGCGGAGGTGGAGCGAGTGTGTGGTGGGTAGTGGAGAGGAGGAGGGTGGTGAGTCACTGAGACCTGGAGGTTTAAACCCTCCATTTTTGTAGCAAGGCTAATGGTCTTGCATTGCTTCTTCACAACACTAACACTTGATGGGCGCTGGTAAGCCATTTTGAATGGTTACAGAACAGTATTTAAAGCAAAAACACTTAAACACACACAAACGCCGTGAATGCCTAACAAAGACTGGGGATGCTTGGGGACGCCGTGATGCTCTGCAAGAGAGCGTAGCGCGCCAAGATGAGAGAGGGTGATGTGCCGTAAAAAGTAGCCCGTGTCGACGTTGTCCGAATTATGGGTATCTAAAGAGTAGCGACGTTATAACGAAACAACGTTGTCGGGGGCAAAGTTAAACGAGGACTTACTGTAGTGTAGGAACAACTTACCCGATCTCTCTCCCGTGCACCCTGGTGGAAGCTGTGAGACAATGCATGGTATATTCTCTGCAGCACGATCAGTCTCTTGTGTAGTAGTGCAGAGAACCTCGGTTGTGCAGCGGTGGAGCTACAAAAGACGTACAGTACTCTATAGTATCACAAATGAAAGAAATCATTATGAAATATACGTAGTAGAGTATCTACAATATTGCTTTCTTCAAACACAAATTTAAACATGAAATTAATTTTTAATGTAAAAACACAAAGTTCTCTCTCATGTAGAGTGACAGGTGTAGCCAGGGTATAGTCTGTTTACTTGAACCTTACATCCGAGGACTAGGGTCATGGTGTTGCAAGACACGCTGAGGAACATGGGAAGTCACTACTGTACTGTATGGTACTGTTCTATTATTATTATGAACACAGACTACCACTATTGTACTGTATAGTACTGTACTGTACTGTTCAATTATTATTATGAACACAGACTACCACTACTGTACTGTATAGTACTATACTGTACTGTTCAATTATGAATATTGACTACCACTACTGTTATCACTACGCGCCGGCCACATGTTGAGCAAAGAAACTGTTTACTGCTCATAATAGCTTACTAAGCGAGATGGAGATGGTAGTGGCTGTACGACTGCCTGAGAGGCAGAGTCTCGCCTTCTATCATAGAGATAGCATCTAGAATTTTCATTCCTGCCAACAACTACCAGGAAGATATTATATTCGTTCTCATTGGTCAAACCCTAGACCCCCAAACATGAGTGTGATTGTGAACTATTAAATCCTCTAAAAAACTCTAAATAACTTTAATAAGTACATTTATGTACTGTATATTGATCATATTATACAAATGTCTCCTGATGTATCAACAGTTGTAACATGTGAGTTATATTTAAGAGGTTAATAGGTTATATACTGTATATTGATCGTACTATTCAAACTGTGTGTCCTGATATACCAGCAGTTGTTATATGTGAGTTATATTCAACAGGTTTTGACCAAATTATACTCATCGCGTCAACGACAAGGGTCTTATTGTCCTGCACAAACCAATATCGCTCCTATGAGCGGTTAAAACTACTGTACTGTACTGTACTGTATAGTACTGTAAGGTACTGTTCAATTATTATTATGAACACTGACTACCACTACTGTACTGTACTGTATAGTACTGTATGGTACTGTTCAATTATTATTATGAACACTGACTACCACTACTGTACTGTATAGTACTGTACTGTACTGTACTGTATGGTACTGTACTGTATGGTACTGTACTGTATAGTATTGTACTGTACTGTACTGTATAGTACTTTACTGTACTGTATAGTACTGTACTCTACTGTATAGTTCTGTAGTTTACTGTATGGTACAGTAATGTACTGTATGGTACTATTCAATTATTAATATGAACTCGGACTACCACTACTGTACTGTATTGTACTATACTGTATTGTCCTGTACTGTACTGTACTGTAGAGTACTGTACTGTATTGTGCTGTAATATACTGTATTGTCCTGTAATGTACTGTACTGCATTGTAATGTATTGTACAGTGAACCCTCACTTTACGCGGTTAATTGAACCCACGGCGGCCCGCGTAAAGTGAGAAACGCGTAAAGTGAACAACATAACATATGGGATTAATTGAGAGAGAGAGAGAGAGAGAGAGAGGAGAGAGAGAGAGCAGCCGAACTGCCAGATGTAAACAAACCTTAATTTCCCGCGGCTTTGTTGCTTTTTTTTTTTAAGGGGATTAGCCCACCCGGGCATAGGTCACTGACCCACATTGGTGCCTGAGGGGCAAAATTTTAATACTCCTGTAATAATAATAATAATTCAGATAAGTAAAAAAAAAAAAAAGCTGCCTACAGTAGGCTCTCGCCAATGACGTTCAATAGGTGCCTGAAAAACGCCGTTATTAGCGAAAACGTTATTTGTGTGACATTAAAATACATGTACAGTAAAAGTCCAAAAATCCGGACTGTTTGGGGATTGGGTCGGTCCGGATTTTCGGATTTTCCGGATTCTCAGGCAGTACTTTTAAAATTCAAATTTAAGGAAGAATAAAGAAGAGATGAACAGGTACATTTTGATAGTTTATTCATTAGCAAATATAGCATTCTTCATTTATCAAAACGAGCAGTTTTAATGAAAAAGCTGTGAATTCTAGAATTTTTTTCTTTGCCTTTTATATATCATAAATTGTAGACTTTCCAATGTCGTATGTTTCCATTAGAACATTATTGCTCACACCACGTTCTAGTTTCTTAATTATTTCAAGTTTGTCCCTCAATTTCAACGTGTTCTTCCTCTTCACACAACGAAGTTTATCTACTTTAGGAGCCATTATTATGGGCTTGTACAGTACTCTGTAAATGGAAAGAGTAGGACTCAAAATATTGTTATATTACAATGGTATTCTATTCATACTGTGCTTGATATAATGCATTCACGGAAATGTAATATTTTTGCTGAACGTACGTATTACAGTGGAAAGTGGGATAAAATCGTGACGAAAACTATGACTTTCGCATTCTTTCGCTCAAAAGATGTTACCGTAATCGCTTTTCGAATGGTTTTCAGTTCAAAAACTGTTGCCTCACAAGTGAATTCTATCTTAATTGACTTGAATAAATACTACGATACCATATTTCTGAATATTTTCATTAAAATCCATCAAAATCATTTTCCTTGTCTTCGTGCAGCACCAAACAGCTCCTCCCAGTCCTCTCCTTGAACAGGGCTAGAGGGTACGTGTTTTTCGAATCGTTTTCAGTTAAAAAACTATAACATCACACGTATATTTTACCTAAACTGCTCCTGAATGAATATATTCTCGGAAATAAATAGCAGTTTTGCGGAAACGTGATGTATTTTAATGTAAAATAGGATAAAATACATGACAAAAACAAAAGACTTTACCTAAGCTTCCGATGTTCTTGAGATGTTACTCGTTTTTTTAATAGTTTTCGGTTAAAATTCTGTTATATTACAATGATATTCTATTCATACTGTGCTTGATATAATACATTCACGGAAATGTAATATTTTTCCTGAAATTACGTACGTATTACAGAGGAAAGTGGGATAAAATCGTGACGAAAACAATGACTTTCGCTTTCTTTCGTTAAAAAGATGTTACCGTAATCGCTTTTCGAATGGTTTAGTTAAAAAACTGTTGTATTTCAATAATATTCCCACCTAACTGACTTGAATAAATACTTGAAAGGAAATATACAATATTTTTGTTGAAACTACCCACGTTTCAGTGTAAAGTGTAGTAATAATAAATGGTAAACAATTTGCCTTCGGCACTCATGTTTCATGCACGGCGAGCCTCAGTTTATAGGAAGTAGAGCGTTTTTACTGAAGGTTTTGTTGTTCCATTACCTCAAAACGTGGGTCGAACTATAAAATAGAAATATCATAAATTAACGATTTATTGGTCAAAAAATCAGGGTCGACTGATAAACGAGGGGGGTTATAGATGAGTATATACGGTATGTTGTCACAGTTTGATTGCTCATTTTAAAGTGGTGACCACGTGGTCGCTTGTTGTCGCTGTGCAGCTGTGGCGCTTGACGACGCGCACATACACACAAAAGCCCGCTAAAAAAAAAAAAAATAGTTTTTGAAAAGTCCGGATTCTCAGGTGGTCCGTTTCTGACTTTAACTGTAAAAAGGATTTATTGGTGCTGCCGCCCCAAGAATTTCACCCAGTTTTTCCCGCTTAGAAGCCCTCCTAACACTTTTTGTTCGCTGAAATAAAAAGAATTGTTATTCAATCACCACAATAAAGAGTTTGAGTAATATAACACTTAGTTTTTGAGGTGCTTGGTGTGATGATTGTTCCGTATCTGAGGGCTGCTAACACTTGCACTGTCTTTCATTCTACAAGCTAACCATTTCACAAGAAAATGCTCTGTTATCACTAACAACCTGTTTCTATCACCTTTATCATTCATAGCTCGCGATTTCCATCACTACCGAAATATTTTAGCCAGCGCAATACTCTTCTGGTCTCTCTAAGTTCCTCTTAATATTTCACACTGTAGACTCAGGACAGTTCAATTTCCTCACAATATCAATGTTCCGTGCACCACTTTCAATGAGCACAACAATCAGTTCTTTATCCTTGACCGAGTAGGCATGCTTCTTGTGGCTTTGACTCTTAACTTTGGGATCTTTCTTCTCATTCACTTTAAAAGTTCCCGGGCGTTCAGGCGGCAAATCACTCCCTCCAACACCTCCCCTAACCCCCACAGGCAAAAATGCGGAAGCCATTATTGATCACCGGCCCTAACAACCACTGGTTATAGAAGCTAAAATCTCACACGTGGGCGCAGCGGCCATTCCAGAGCGTGTGTGAGAGTAGCCGGAGCGACAACTACGCCATCAACACGGCGGCAAACAAACGCTATCATTGATGCGCCGAACGCTTCCCAAAAAACTCCATTATTCAAGAGAATCCAGACGTTATTATCGAAAATGGGTATTCATTGTAACTTACCGTTATTGTCGAAAACGTTATTGTGGAAGTCGTTATTGGCGAGAGCCTACTGTATCTACCTATTGGACAAACTAAAATCGTTCCGGACCACGGGAGTTTCCAGACCACAAAATGCCGGACTAGAGAGTTACAACCTGTACTATACTTTACTGTATTTTACTGTTTTGTCATGTATTGCACTGTACTATACTATGTACTGTGCTGTACTCTACTACTGTACTGTACTATAAAGTACTGTATTGTACTCTATTGTAATTGTACTGTATTGTATTGCACTGTACTGTAATGTACTGTATGTCCGACAGGACCCTGCGCATAATGCAATGGCGAGGAGTGTAGTATAGTAAAGCCTCTGATAACAATGGTTCAACCAACAACTTTTTCATTTAAGATCCTAGTTAATTTAGGACCCAATTCAATTTATGTCCTTAATTCATTCAGATTTAAGACCAAAATATAATAAAAATAAATAAAATTACATTTTCATATACAGTACTGAAAATAATAACTAACCTCACATGTATTATAAAAAAAATATATACTGTAAAACAAAAGAAGAGCTTTGTGCTAATAAACTGCCTTGCTAATGAGTGGTAATGCGCATCGGCAGTAAACAACAGTTGGAGCTTACGTCCATTTGTTTTCACGCATCTGAACAGGAACAGGAGAAAAACTTTCTCAGGTTTCTTACAGTATTTTTGCATCCCTCTTCAACATGAGTAAGAGAGCAAGTGATGGTAGTGTTGTTTCAAAAGCTAATAAAGAGTACCTGTATAAGCTTAGCCAAGAAACTAGATGTGTTAAAACGATATGAAAAAGGTGAGAGGTCTGTGGCTATTATATGGAGCAAGAAATGAACATATTTTCTGAAGTGGATCCATTAACAGAACAAAGCAATAAAATTGAAATAAACACAAATGACCGCTACATAAAGATGCATAATGAGAAAAGAAGAAGCTGTGCGAGGTTCTTTCGACAGCTTTATTATTTGAAGGCCTAAACCATCAACTTTAGCTACACCATCAAATTCAGCATCATAAGCAACTTCAACATCAACTTCAGGTTCAGTAACAGTTTCAGCAACAGCTTTACGGAAAGCTTTCATCACTGCTGAGAAGGCAACCAACAGATACATAGTAAACACTTGAACTACCGACCACTTGTTACTCAGATGTAACACACTACTTACTGACAATGATCTGCCTGTGAAGCCAACACCAACACTCAACTTACCGAGCAAGAGCTGCCTGTGAAGCCAGGAGAGCATTGACATGACTAAGTTGGTTCAGGTGAAGGAGGCTCTGGTTCATAGTCTGCAAACTGTGGGCCCCCACGCATCACACAGCCAGGACCTGCCACCACAACCACCTCCTACAGGAAGGATAAAGTAAAAAAAAAATTTTTACAAAGATTTTGTAAAAAGTATAAATAATACTGTACAGACTGCCTGCATTTCAACAGCTTTTTTGACAGTAACTTAATATCAAAAGATTAAATAAAAATTAACACATAAGGTCATGTTGCCATCATAGTTCCTCTCAGGTCCTGGATACAGTATTACACTTTCATACTCAACCTCTATACTGTAAACTGTACCAAAATTTACTTTACAGTACTGTATACAGTATATCTGAACCTTGGGTGTACAGTACAGTACTGTGAACCTTGGGTGTACACAGTACAGTACTGTGAACCTTGGGTGTACAGTACAGTACTGTGAACCTTGGGTGTACAGTACAGTACTGTGAACCTTGGGTGTACAGTACAGTACTGTGAACCTTGGGTGTACAGTACAGTACTGTGAACCTTGTACAGTACAGTACTGTGAACCTTGGGTGTACAGTACAGTACTGTGAACCTAGTGTACAGTACAGTACTGTGAACCTTGGGTGTACAATACAATGCACTGTGAACCTGAGTGTACAGTACAGTACTGTGAACTTGTGGTGTACAGTGCAGTACTGTGAACCTTGTGCATGCAATGCACTGTGAACATGGGTGCATAGTACCGTGAACCTGGGTGTACAGTACAGTACCGTGAACACTTGGGTGTACAGTACAGTACTGTGATGGGAAGTACTGTGAACCTTGGGTGTACAGTACAGTACTGTGAACCTTGGGTGTACAGTACTGTGAACCTTGGTGCAGTGCAGTGCTATGAACAGGTGTACAGTACTGTGAACCTTGGTACAGTACTGTGAACCTTGTAGTGTACAGTACTGTGAACCTTGGGTATACAGTACTGTGAACCTTGGGTGTACAGTGCAGTGCCTGTGAACCTTGGGTGTACAGTGCAGTACTATGAACCTTGGGTGTACAGTACAGTACTGTGGACCTTGGGTGTACAGTGCAATGCTACGAACCTTGTGTACAGTACAGTACTGTGAACCTTGGGTGTACAGTACAGTACTGTGAACCTTGAGTGTACAGTACTGTGAACCTTGGGTGTACAGTACAGTACTGTGAACCTGGGTGTACAGCACTGTGAACCTTGGGTTTACAGTACAGTACTGTGAACCTTGGGTGTACAGTACAATACTGTGAACCTTGGGTGTACAATACAGTACTGTGAACCTTGGGTGTACAGTACAGTACTGTGAACCTTGGGTGTACACTAGCTGCATCCATTATAGTGACTGTTTAAATTAGCTGGTACATGTACACAGTACAGTACTGTACAGTACATGTAGAGTATGTGACAAAAACATCCTCTTTATACAGTATTTACTGTACCTTGTTCTCCAGGAGTCTGTCGTAGAGGACAAGTGTGGAGTCACTGAAGGCTATAGCTTGGCAGTCCTCGGCAAGCCATGATGACGTGAGGTGCTCTCTCCACCCAAGTTTGACTGTTGGTGGTGCCACAGGTGGATCACTGCCCACCACCCCACCCTCCATCATCCTCTGTTCCATGCTGCAACACAAAAAATATATATCATTAATACATCTCAACAGTATATACGCTACTTTATTAATAACCACACCTTTCCTTTTCAATAAAACTTATCTCTACAGTGTGCAGGGTGTTCTGTAAATACAGTTCTTAATTCAGGGGGTGTATTCATGAGACATAAATAAAGATAAATTACTAAATGACCAAATTGTCAACTTTCAATAGTTTTGGAGTTACAGCACAAGACAAGTTTAGTAGTACTGTAATGTGATGAAACCTACAGTTACCTGACATAAATCCCCTTGATTTCTACCCGTGGGGTCACATAAAAAGCAAGGTGTATGTCACAGAGGTTCACAAACCGTAAGGAATTGTGGCGCCTACAGGACAGTGTGACAAACAGTCGCAACACCCCTGGGGTCTTTGAACGTGTGCAACATTCACTAGTGTGACGGGCTGAGCTGAGCCCTGCATTGAGCAAGAGGGGCGGAACTTGAACATTTCCTCTGAATGTGAATACCAATACAAATCATATGGCATTATTAATGTTAATAAACGTAGCACAGTGTATTGATGTTTCATACAGTGACCCCTCGTTTAACGAACGCCTCGGTTAACGAAATTTCGGTTAACGAACTGCCTTCCATAAGGATCTTCAATTCGTTAATCGAACAAAATTCAAGTATGAATTTCTACGAACCGACCTCAACATGTTTCGCTTGCACTGGCCGGGCAACCAGCTTTAGTATCAGTCCGCCAATACATTAATCGGTTCTAGGGCTTAAATTCCTAACTATTTTAGTAAATATCAAGAAGTTTATACTATTCAATAATATTAAAAGTTTAATATTCAATTTTTTAGTCATTTTAACAATTATTGAACATAATTGAAGGTAAAGTGACTAGTTTAAAGAGCATCCAGCCTCTTAACACAGCAAACAGGCGTTAGTCTCTTGTTTTCACTGGAGGTAACATCTTGCTTGAGACTCTCTTCAACTAAATGCTCTTTTTTCTGTGTTTCCAAGCAAATTATTGGTCATTTTGAAATATATTTTACATATTGACAATATATAATGCAGTACAGTGTTGATTAAAGAAAATAATCTTGAAATACACCAAGAGAACTAATATTTTATGGGTGAAATGGTGCCATGGGGTGACTTCTCTTCCACCCCAATGCCTTCTCTTCTTCCTTCTCCTCCACCCCCATTGTAATTCCCATCATCATCATCATCATCATCCAGGATTCTACATACACACCTTAAAGTAAGTGAACTTTTCTACCATTTTTGTTGAATTTAGGAAATTTTCGGTGAGCTGGAACCAATTACCCAAAAACCCATTGAAACAATGGTTTCGGTTAACGAACTTTTCGTTAACGAACGACCTTCTGGAACGGATTGAGTTCGTTAACCGAGGGGTCACTGTACAGTATACAATATTTAACCCTATGCACCACACTTTCACCTTCACTTGTAAGCCAACCCATGAGCCAACACTACAGCCCTGTGTTTGTTTCTTGGTTGATCATAAACCCGCCATCACACTGCTCCACGATTATTGGCCAATTTCGTACATTTTATTTATCATGACTGTTTTTTCTAATAGTGAGTGAAAGGACAGAACTAACATTTAGATTGAACTGTGTTGTGGTGACTGTGAAGTGATATTTTCTGTTGTTTTTCGTGATTTGAAGATATGTCGACTCTGTTGTTGTGAAAGTGTGAGTAATGTCAGCCACTATGACTGTTTTTTGTTATAACCATTTGCTCTGTTTTAGTGACTGTGAAGTGAGCAGTGTAAGTATGAAAATGTCTGGGAAGACCAAGGCACCCTAGACAACCATGTCTCTGAGGTGAACCTTAACATTATGAAGCAGCACGAGACCACCCAGAGGCTGTGTGGGTGCTGAGTGACATCTCTACTTCACCTACAAAGTCCCCTTAGCCTCAAAAGGGACATGTGATGATGACCAGACTTATTCTTCATGATGTAGTGAGTGTGTTTTGTTCTGATAGCAGTACAGCTAGACCCCGACTTACGACGGGGTTAGGGACCCAAATCCAGGTCGTAAGTCCGAATGGTCGTAAATCCAACAGATAAAAAATAAAAAAAAATTATAATTATAAAAATCTACAATGAAATACAGTACAGTGAAAGTAATAAATAATGAGGAATGGATACAGTGTGACTGAGCACTTACTTTTAATGTAGTCAGCTGAATGCAATATGGGGCCCCCATAATTTCTTAATTATACATGGAGACTACATTAACTGGAAACGCTTTCGGATAGAAAAATGCTGTCATTTGGGGAGGGGGAAAAAAGGTCACAACTGGCGGTTGTAGTCCCGGAGGTCGTAAGTCGGGGTTCAGCTGTACAGTATTGTAGGAATTGTTTTGTCAGTGATACATGTGTGTTTGAGGACTGGCTGGGAACATATCCTATTGAACCTCATGTTATAATGGTCCCTATCTATGATAATTCAATTAATGATGAGTTTTTCAGCAACCTCACCCCATCGTATCTCGAGGTTTACCTGTATGTAACAACAGCAATATGCATTAACATATCTCACAGGCCACAGCTGACTGGCATGTCAGCCAGCTGACTCCTGAAACGGCTCTCAGAAAAACGGACTTCTTTAACAATTATTCTACTCTATCTAAATGATGTGGCTTAGAAACAAAGAAAATATAATACTGTATATGACTATAAAATAATAAAAATGAAGAGCATGGGTGTGTATGTGTTGGTGGTGGGCAATAACTACGTCTCCGACTCACCAGCCTAGCAGCCGTGTTTATTGTTGCTTTTAATGAAATTATAGAAGTTATCAAAAAATCATTACAATAGTCTAATGTGGCTTACAAATAAAGAAATTAAAAGCATGCCCTAAAAATTTGCGAGGGTTAGGTTCTCAAAATGGCCAAGAATAGCCAACTCTGCCAATAAAATTTGCTAACTGGGGGATTTTTATTTGTGTGCAAAGAAATGTATATTCCCTTTATGTGCCCTTTGGACACAAATAATCATACACAAGACAACACAATTTAATAATATAAGCATCTACCCTCAAGTCAACTCCGATTTGTTATTAACAAAGCGTGGAGTTGACTTGAGGGTGATCACACACATATATAGAATATAGGTATAAGAAATTACTGTCTCTAAAACAAATGGCTCCCTGTCCCGTCAGCAACAGTGAGTGAGGACACACAAGCTGTAGCCTTTCCTCCTACACTCACCACTTGCTTCTACACACAATGATTAATTCACTTTATGTTTTTGACCTTATGATAATTATTTTATATTTTTGGGGCCACATATTGTGTGTGGTGCACATTTAAACTGAAATACAGGCATCACCCGCGTTATGGAAGGGTTCCGTCCCTGGAAAATTGACCATATCGCGAAATTCCGTAACGCAAAAAACCTATTTTACCATTGACTTCCATTATAAAATCCGAGATGTGTTCCTACGGAATTTCTTTAGGCCCCAAAAACGTAATTCGCTAACTTTTATGAATGAAAATAAACATTTATAAACACATACAATACAGTACATTTAAATAATTCATCATATACATGTAATATGAAGAGAAATACAGTTGAAATAAATAAAATATTGTACTGTACTCTACCACAAAAGATGTTGACTGCCGCGTGAGGATAGGTGGTGCAAAGAGTTATTGGGAGGGAGAGGCACTATTTCTTCTGCCCTGCCCTAAATCATCATCTGCTTCATCATCTGCTTTCTGCTTTTCTCTGAGGATGAATAACTCATCCAAAGTTGCTTGATGTTTACGGCTTACCTTCTCCTTTGTACAGCTCAGTGTAGGAACTGGAGAGCATTGTTAACTGCCTGCAATCTTGATGTTCCTTTCACGGTTAGTCAAGTATCAGCAAAGATTTGCAGACCTTCCTCCTCTATTAGTGCAAACGCTTAGACATATCCTCTTGTTGTCAAATTGAAGTGGGGTGGGTGGAGATTCTATATCTCTTCTTATGTCCTGCAGTCAGCTCTTGTTCCAGCATCATCAGATCTTCATTAGTCAAATCTTCTCTATGGACTCTAACAACTCAACCACATCATTTTCTATGATTCTTCAAAGTTCATGATTGTTTGCAAGCGTCACAAATGTCTTGTTGAACTTGCTGTAGACTCTTCAGCTTGCTAAAAACCGTGAAATCATGGACACACTCTGGCCATGTTTTCCATTCATAGCTGAGGTTTCACTCATCCCCTGACTCGCTATATTATCCACAGCATCCAAGATGTTGAACTTTTTTCCAGAAGTCCTTAATTGTAGGTTTATCCTCCCATCAATTGCTTTTATGAGCTGCAAAAAAGTTTTCCCTAAGATAATATGCCTTAAAGTTAGCTATATCACACCTTTGATCCATTGGCTGCAGCAAGCGTTTCAGATGTACTCCGCACTCTCACATTATCAGAAAAGATCATTTAAAATTCTCTGCCTAGGTGGTCAAGTATTGTCTAAGAGGAGCAATGCTTTATTAGATAGTGTTACGCCCACATTATATCTTTCTTTACAGCAGGGCAAAAAATAGTTAGTGAACTGGGGTTCTTGGAAAAAGGGTCATGGTTATCCAAGCTTATTGGAATGCCAAACCACAGGTAGATTAGACTTGCATAGCTCCCTTGAGTATTCCTGGATTTTCTGAGTGATACACAAATAGGGTTTTAATTTCATGTCACCTGAAGCATTTCCTCCCAGAAGAAGTGTTAAACGATCTTGGATGCTTTTAAAGCCTGGTGCTGATTTTTCTTCAGTGGAAATAAAAGTTCTAGCATATACGCGCTTTTCAGAAAAGCCCAGTTTCATCAACATTGTACAATTTGTTCTGTGTAAAATCTCCTTTCATCAATAATTTTCTTTCAGCTCAGCAGATATGCGTGGGCTAGCAGAATCTGTATCAGCACTGGCAGTCACCGCCATTTTGATGTTGTGTAAATTAAGGCTCTTTCTTAGACCTTTCAAAACCAGCCTCTTACTAGCC